GTTTGAAACTGCATATGCTTGAGATCTGCAAACTAGAGTGGAAGGAAGGGGGTTCATTAGCCAGGTGTGGTGCCAAAACCCACAAAATTAAAGATCCTGTTGAAGGAATGGATAGCTTGGAGGAAAATGTAAGAGCTGCATACACATCAGCAAATACAGGCCCATCTGATCTCTTTTGATTAGAAAGTTTAGAGGAGCAAAGAGCAAATTCTCAAAAATAAATCTGCTTCAGTGATCTGATCTCCCTGTCACCAATGGTGTTTTTTACACTGGTATAATGTGTTGATTTCATGCAGGAGTGCATGGGCTACTGAATCTTGCTGGCCACTCAATTGTTCACAGACATATGTCTGTACAGGTATCTGTATGCATACGTGCATAAAATAAAATAGATAATATAATGTAGTGTAGCATAACATAATTAACATATTATAAATATAATTTATGTATTGCATAAAGCAAGCCATATAGATTATGCTTTTCTGCCTGCTTGAGCCATTTGCTAGTTGATAAACGAAAGAGCTCTCCAGCCATTTTAATCAACACAGTCTCACCTTTTGCCTTTCTAACTGGAAACTACAGAGATTTATGTGGAAGACAAGTCTGAGTGGTTTTGGTTATGATGTGTCATCCCTAGTACTACTGCTGCAATTAGCTGCCGCCTCTAATGCAGGGAAACTTTGGTCCACTGCTCTGTTTAATCACAACACACAGTGCAGGTGTTGAGCTTTGTACTCTGAGCAATGACAAGGTGGGGTGGGCATTTTAACATCCTCTTGTTCTATCTAGTATGAAGATTGCAACAAATTTATCCGTATTTTAGATTTCGTAATGTAGTTTAATGCATAATTCTTGTGGATGACGTCCCTTGCACAAGCAGGGTTTTTGTTGGATATTGGCATCAGGTTGCCAGTCTCTGTGGATGTTTCCTATGAGCTGGTGCTTAGAAGGGCCTTGCTCTGGGTTCAGTTGTGCCCTCACTGACAGCTGTATAAACCCACAAGTAATTTCACTGAAGTTATTGAAAGTGCTCTGGACTTGTACCGCTGTAGCTGGAAGCAGGAGGTAATTAAGTTCATTTTGAAATTCTTCAGCATACAGCAAACACTCAGCCCTACCCGCCCACACAGACAAAGAGGCATAGGTACATACATGCAGGTGCAGTTCATAAAATAAACGGCCTGACTGAGTGTATCCGCCCAGATGAAAGCCAGATGCTTGGGAAGGAAACTCTTTTCCTGCCAAAGTGGCCTAAAAGCCGCCAGCTTGTATACGGTCAGCCTCAGCTGTGTTGCCATGACCAGAAATAGCGTTCTTGGGAATATTTACAAGGATGAATACACACCCGCTTTTTCTTCCTTTGAGGGTTTTAACAGATGCTGCTATGCTTGGAGTTTTCTAATTAAAAAAGGTCCTATATGTGTCAGTGTCATATGAACTGTGGCACTTTTTCTGCTATCCTGTTTCATAGCATAGATCCAGCGAAGTCCTGAGAGTGCTGGTTGCTGTATGTGTGCAGGGGGAGCCTCTGCGTTTACAGGCACATTGTCTTCAATCACATACATTCCTTAAAAAAGGTGATGCAAAGGACTGATGCCTTTAGTGGAACAGAGAAATTGTGCTTCAGAGAACAGTATCTCTTGCTTGGGCAGCACACTGTCCTCACAAGACAAGCAGCTGACATCCTTTTTAGGCTGTTGGAAGAGCCCCCACAACCTGTCCCCTGAGGCAAGGCTGGATGAGGGGCAACACCATACTTCATCTCCTCCCTTCCCTGAACCTCTCTTGCTGTCCTGACTCTGCAGCAGCAACTCTCAGTGCCACAGTAAGGAATTCTGCAAGGTCCCCTGAATGACATAGTATCATGGGTTGGAAAAGACCTCTAAGATCATCAAGTCCAACCATCCACCCAACACCACAATGCCTGCTAAACCATATCTCGAAGTGCCACATCTACACGTTTTTTGAACACCTCTAGGGATGGGGACTCCACCACCTTCCTGGACAGCCTGTTCCAATGCCTGACCACTCCTTCAGTAAAGAAATTTTTCCTAATATCCAATCTGAACCTCCCCTGATGCAACTTGAGGCTATTGCCTCTCAAATCAAATGAACCACGTAATTATTTAACTTCAAGAGCAGGACAAGGACTTTCTTCTGCAGGACTCAATATGGGGAACTCAGCAATTCCTGTAAAATTGTTGTGGAATATGTTTGAAAACCCCGTGGCCCTGTGGGCTAGCTGCACTGGCAAATTATCAGGAGCCTCTCAAACCACTGGTCATCCTTCTAAGGGAGCAGTCCACATAGCTGGCACTTAGAAGCATGTATAGGTTGAAAAAAGTGCAGACAAATCCAAATCTCTCTGTCTGTGCTCCCAGCAAGATGGATACAAGCCAACTCTGGTCCAAAACCTGCATAGCTGTGTTATGATAAGTGAGTGTATTAGTTAGGACACAGTGCTGTGCTGACTTGGCAAGGTGGCTTCCAGGTGGGAACTGGCTTAGGTTCATCTGGCCCAGGGAGCAGGCATTACATGCTCAGCTCATGTCTGCTCCTGCCCATGGTGGCATGCAGAAGAGAATTAGAGTTACAGATTTCAGCCAAAAGCTGCCAAACCTGGCAGCTGAGGCAGCCTACAAGAATGCAAAGATCTCATCACAGATAGGGACCTGCCCTGATGGCAGGATGTGACAAATAGTCAACCCAGCATGCAGACAGATTAAATGGTACAAGCTCAGAGCTGAAGATGGGTTTGTTGACTGTATCGTGATGCAGTATTGCTCATCTAGGACTGTGTCCGCTTTAAAATGAGGAAGAGGTTGGGATATCATTCTCTGGGTTAACATTGATATGACTTGTCCCCATGTAAGATCCTGCTCTCGCTTATATATTTAGTAGAGAAAGACACCAGTGTATGCCTTGGTCTGGTTTTAAAGATCATTTTCTTGACAAATTTCTAAAGAGTCATTTTTTCATACAGCGCAGAGACAACATCCTCCCAGCTGTGTTCTGAGCTACTGGTCACAGGCTCCATCACTCCAAGCTCCGCAGCAGGTAGGTCAATGTATTCTTCAGACATGTCCTTTGTGGGTTTATCTCATCCTGCCTCTGTCATGGGGACCACAGAGATGCCTGGTCTGGCACGATCTTCTGGCCTAACTCAGGCTTTGTAAAAGACAGCCATAGGTAAGCCTCTGGAGACTTGACTGATTTGTATTTAGGACAGAAAAACACAGACCTTTATTTGTCCATATGCACACAGTATGCAAATATAACCCTATAGCTTGAGAGGAGGCTTTGGTTATATCTCAGCTAATGGAATAGAGCAGCCCACATCTCATTTCACATCCCAGTCTCTGTCTGAGACCGATCATGTGTCCAAACATGAGAGTGGCAGGGGAGGCTTCAGGTGGTAGAGAATATGCCTGTGTTCCATGAACTAAGTGTTGTTTTCATGCCTTGTCTTATAGTAGGCTTAGCTTTTCCATGTAGAAAAATCTGCAGCTGTGCTCCAAGCAGTGCTCCAAGCCTGGAGGAGGCTTGTGGAAAGATGTGTGTACATGTGCTGGGAGCCATGAATGGCACAGAATAAACTGCTGAACAGTGAGCACCCAGCTCTTCCCTGTTGTAGCAGCTGTGATCGTTTCCAAATCAGAGCCAGGGCTGAGACAGTCCCGATGTCAGCAGAGGTTCTGCACCCTCTGCCTCCCTCCCTGTGTCATTTTCTCCAGTGTTGTGTTGCGACACAGAGGGCAGTGACAGTAGCAGTCTTGCAACAGGGTGCTGCTGATGGGGCAAAGGCCCAGGCTTTGCACTTGGCCACCGGATCTTTCTGGCTCCCACAGAAAGACAAGGCAAGTCCAAGAAGAAACTGATGCTGGGTGGGGATTTGTGAATGCTGCTCTGTGCGAGGGAGGACAAATCTCTGTTACATGCATCTGCAGTGAAGCAGAGCATATTTTTCCCTGTAATTTTTTAAACACTCTTTAGTTACTTCGACGCAGACCAGAGCAATGATGCCAATCATATTAGTGGGTTTGAACAACATCTAGCAAAAAAGGGGATGCAGCACAGCTCTTGAAACACACTTATGACTACAGTTTATAGTCAGTGGGCAATTCTGATATTTTGGCATTTGGATTAGTGTAAATATGGAAACACTGACTTTTGGGGGGAAACAAAAAGAATTGGATTTTTTATTCTTGTGGTACCTAGCTACTGCTCTGTGTGCATATGCACCTGTTTTTCTAACCTTAATGACTTTGGAGTACATGGACCAGTTTCTCTCTCCCAGGTTGGCATGAGGATAGTGTCCTCAGGGATGAGGTCCTACCAGTTTTCTGAAAATTGATGGTCAGGCATGAGAGATACTGTTAGTGCTTCTATTGAAGGAAAGGTTGATATGTCCTTCCCTCATTCCCATTTATTAGCCATCAGAGAACTCACGTGATGCTAGGGCAGGGGGATGAGGAAGCAGAATGAAAGGAAAAAGTCATTAGAAACCAGGCTTCATTAATTCAGCTGCTGAGGGAACAGCGTGTTTGGAAAGGTCGACATGTTTCATTTGACCTAAACAAAATGCTTGGACATTCTTCAGCTGAAATGTTTCATTCCTGCCTATTGAACCAAATCCAAACACTTTGCTTTGGTGAAGCGCTGTAATGAAGGGCTTGGAAGGGAGCAGCTGCAGCTTACTCCAGCAGCACTTGTCTGCCCAAGGGCTGGGAGAGGGTGATGTTCTTTCTCCAAACGTGCAACGTTGATCATCTCCAATGTATTCATGGATTAATATGGACTTCACCTCAGGTGTTAGAAAACGGTGAAAGACCTCAGTCTGTCTGCTGTCCGAAAGGAGTGTATGTCCTCCTGCCATAACAGCTATCTGAAGGGAAAAAGAAGTTGTGCCTGGTCTTCTAGGGAAAAGGCATTGATATGACTTCCCTCTGTGTCTGTGTGTGCTCACATTTGTCTGTCTGTCCTCCCATCTGTGTCTTTAGTTAATGACCTGCTTCAAGCCAGTTTGGGCATGTTTGTACATACGATACGGGGTAGACATGTGGACAGCAGCGGGCCCCTGCTGTTCCACACTTTGGAGCGTGAGCTAGCCACTAGCCTCAAGTCCTTCCCTCCTGTTCCCGTGTGTGTATCGGTGAACAATGATGCGGGTGAGACAGTGGGATTTGTTGACAGACCCATTCTCCCCTCCACACCATTGCCTGGAAGTTAATCCAGCCTCCTAAGTGGAAAACTGTGATGAAAATCATTGCTCTGATTTGGATATGGTGGGTTTGAACTCAGAGCCTTTTCTCTCTTAGGAGAGCTTTCTAAGCACTCCACTATGAATTTTAGGCTATAGATGTCCCTTGCTGTGGCATAACACAGCAAAAAAAATGGCACAAAATAAAAAAGGAAGGGAGAGCGTACAGGGCGGAGCTGGTGCCCAGGGTGAACTGCTTAAGGCAGCTTAATGATGGATGGAGAGAGGGTTTCCCAGAGTTCAGGGTGCCACAGGAGTGGAGACTTTGACCAAGAGATGCTCTCCTGGAGGCTTCTACCACAGCATTTTTCCCTGCTGAGTGTTTGTGGAGTTCAGGCAATAGTTTTCAAAGTAAAAGAAGGGAATTAGTCCTTTGATCCCACTGAATTTCAACAGTGTCAGGGCCTCTCCTAGAGGCTCCCCAAAAGCTCCTTGTAAGGATGCTGGATCCTAGCAACAGCAAAAACAACCATAGGTCTGATCTCAGGAACAGACTGGCTTGTTGACACATCAGTGACAAGCAGCATCATCACAGTCTGTTCTCCCTGCGGCTGCCAGTTCGGCTGCCGCTCTGAGTGTTTGATCTAGCAAAGGCTCCAGCCCAGAAAAGCAAAGCCCGGTGTTTCTTGTTCCTGGCTTAGGGAGCTTGGTGCCCCTTGTGCTGTTTTCTCTGCCACCAAAAGCCCGAATACCATTTTTAATGTTTGCTTGTTTGGTTCATTCTCAACCAAAGTCACATTCCATTAAGCTGGATGCCAGCTGTAGCTTTCCCTTTAGACCACTTGCGCTGTAGCGTTTCACCTCCTTATTACCCCTGTGCTATTACACTTGGCTGCCGCTAACTGTCTGTTTAACATAGGCAGGTGAACCAGCGCTGCTTTCCCAGGGCTGGAGCAGTGCTTCCCTGGGTATCGCAAGGGAAGGGACTACAAATGACTCTGGAAGAGTGTCTGATGCTGTGCCACCACCATGCCACAACGGAATGCACGGGGAGAAGGGACTACAGGATTTCTGACACTCATAAGGAAAAAAGTAATGCTGTAGACAATGCTCTTAGGGAACTGATGAAGCTAATCTGCATTGCAGCAATGCCATCTGACCCAGACACTCATCCAAGCAAAGCTGATGTGTGCTCCAGGCATTTCAGAGCTAAGATGAGCCAAGGGATGCATCTTCCTCTCAAAATTTAGGCTGCCCCACCAGATCTGGTTAGAGATAGATTGCCTGGTGGAGTGAGTCTCATACAATACTCCAAATACTGAAGGAAAGCTCAGATGCATAGTCTGCGAAACAGGCACTGAAAAGGATTTAGTTTGTTGGGGAGACTGATGTAAGAGATGAGAGAAGTTTTCCAGGTGAAAGATGGGTTCACAGGGCACGTTCCCTCTTTCTGGTTCTCCCTGCCTTTGCCGGGACGAGAAGTCCCTCATAGTCCCTCTTGAACACTTGTATTTAAAAAGGACAACAAAAAGGGGGTTAAGAGATGTTATCACTTTCATTCTGTAATTGGAAGGGAGTCTTGAGATATTCATTATCTGCTCCCAGCTGATGCTATGCTGTCTAACAGCACTGAAATTGCAGGATGACAATTATACCACTGATGGCATAATTTATTGTTTTTTTGTTACCCAAGGTAATTCCAATGAGGTAATAAATCTACATGTCAGTAAGTAAATACTCAGTTTACCAGCTGTGCTCTATTTTATAGCCATAGGTTTAATGCTTTCAGAGAAGCATTTGTGAAGTATCGCTTTGCAGTTAGAGGCAAAGAGAAAATTAAATGTTCCATTTTTGTTACCAAAAGAGATTTGTTTCTCATAATTTGTCTTTCTGTTAATATTGTATAACTCAATGTCTTTGTCTTTTGCTTGCTCATCAGCTCAGCCCAAAGACAGTCTTGAAATGCCAAACTGGAACTCTGCTCCATCGAGAAACCTTAGCATTTCAAAGATGGTGTCAGGACAATGCCAGAACCACTTCAGCCCTTTGTTTACTTACTCAAGGAAGGTTGCCCAGAGCTTTGGATGCATGGAGAGTCATGGAAGGACACGTTCTGCTTGTAAGGACTACCGAAAGTTTGCATCCAGGTATAGACACAGCTGGGACTTTCTATCAGGTTATTTTTGTAGGGAAGAGATGGTGTTTGCTGCAGTATTTCCTTCAGAGGAGCTGTGAAACACAAGCAAACCCTTGATAAGAGTCTGGGTCATTATCCAGGAGGATACTGGAGAACATCAAAGGCTTTGAAATGTAAGGATCTCTCTCACTGCTTTAGGGACAAATGCCCCCAGATTGGACTTCACCTTCAGGAAAGATAAATCACCCTTCATTCACCATGTAAGATTCCTCCGTTGTGAAGGTAGTCCATAAAAGGAACAGAGACACTGTACCTCGTGGCTGGTTTGGCCTTGCCTTCAGCTGATCCCAGCTAATTTTGAAACCAAGCATAGAACTGATGTTGCATGCGACTTCAGACAGTCCCATCATGTGGGCTGCATGAAGCTATTTGAGGCCGTGACAGGCAGCCAAAGGAGTGAACTAGGCTGTACGTTGTTTACACTCACCTAGAAATCCCATTAGAAATAAAGTATTGTCTCCTGGAGAAACTAGTTCTACCAAGCTGGCATTTGCCATCTTTAATTTAACTTCATGTATACTAAGGGTGGGAAAGACCTAGGTCCTCAGCTGGTTTCAGCTATCTTGAATCTGTCTCCTTCAGAGAAATGACAACAGTTGACAGCTCCAGTTTTAAGGCTAGCCCCTATGTGGACACTGTCTGCTGCAGACTGCTTCCTACTGCGTTGTTCAGTGGATAGGCCTGCACATGCTTATTGCTAAGATTGATTTCACAATACTCAGCCTACATTTCTCCTTTGATAATGATATTTCATTGGTGATAGTTCAGCTGCACAAAGCCTTAGCCTTTTTGGGATTTTCCACCCACCTGCTATACCCATTCTGGTATCACATGTCCCTGTGATTATCTATTGAAGACAAGCATTTTAGCTGTTGTACTTTTTTCCCCACAAATTAGACCCTGGATCATCATTTTTGTCCCCTTCTATAATTACTTATTAATTGTCAATATCTTTCTGGTAATGAGATGCCCTAAAATGAACCCAGTACATTTTACTCTCGTCTCATGCCAACCTAAATCCAGCTAGAGTTTCTAGCAGAGTAGTACTTAAAGCATCATGGATGATGTCTCATGTTTGGTGCTTCAGGCAAGATGTGCGGAGTGGATGAATTCTGTGTTGCCTGTATTAGAAGTGGGAGAGCTCTATTTACCTGCATTTACTCCTGGGAGGAATTTCCTTATAGTCAGTGAAGCCTGGTCACATAGGCATTGGGGTACATGAATATCAGGATCAAATCAGTATTTCCAGCTTCCCCTCTTCACAGCTGCACAAAGGGAATCTTCCACTCCGCGCTCCCTGCTCCACAAGGACAGTGCCATAAAATTGTAACAGCCTTTTTTGTTCTGTCGGATTGCAAATGCATCACTGGCTTCCTCGTAGACTTCGTTCAATGTTATTGCTCTCCATACTTTTCCCTCCAGTGAATGCTATTTCCCCCCTGATAAATTAGTGTACAATTTTCCAAGAGCTGCATCTCACTTATTTCCTGCCCATATTTCTAAGGTCTCTAGGGCTCTTTGTATTATTTCTCTTGCTTTCATTTATGTTCCCCTACTCTCTCATCTCAACTTAATGTTATCTACATATTTTATTAACCAGCTGTTTTATTCCCTCTCACTCATCACAAGTGGAGATGCTCCCTGAAATGAGAGCTACCCATTGTGCCTATAGGGAACATACGAGATGCAAGCCCCTAGTCTATTATTATTCCTTGTTTGCAGTCCTTCAGACAGTTCCTGTGACAGTATTTATGTCTAAGCCAATGGGAGATAATATTTGAGAGGCACTTTATCAAATGCTTTCCTGACTCCCAGCTCTTTGATGCCTGCTGCTCTCCCTGCTCTCATTGATTTTGTACTTCTGTTGAGTTTATATGCGTTTTTCTCACAGACTTAGTCTTTGTAAGCCCGTGGTGTTCCTTGCATATGTTTCCGAAAGAGATCTGTGTAAATCTCAGGACATTACAGGGAGAACCATGAAAAGATACCGTTTAAAGCCAGCATGAAAGCTCCAGTTGTGTTCAGACCTCTAAAGCCATTTCCAAATAATGAGACATGCCATACTGTTTGGCTGGGCTTGAGGAGAAAAACTCTAGATAAACATGAGAAGATAAAAGAGATCACCTTCCCCTTGATGTATTTCCTTGTATTGTGTGAACCTTTATCCAGTGGGGATTGAATCACATCTTGTCACACACAGAAAGAAAAGAAGTCATTAGCTCAGCTAATTGTTGAAGATAAAGAGCAAAAGGCGATGACAGTTTGCTTTGTGTGTGGTTAAACTTGTTAAATGCATAAATTAAGCAATTCTTTTAATTCTTATTTGATTCATGACACTTATGGTATGGTATTCCACCGTGCCAGCACACTAGCACTTTTTTTTTACTCCTCTCAATTTCAGTTTAAACTATACCTTTTCTTGTTACACACATTAAATAAGTAAAATTATATTGCAGTACACAATACCGAATGTTTTGATTTGGTACTGCATTATACAACATCCTTTGAGTGTACATGGTGTGAACACATACTTTAGTAATACTTCTGTAGAGAAATGATGAGTAGTATGTCTGGACCTGGTTTGTCGTGAAGCCACAATACAAATATACACAAGCTTAGTAGAAATAAGTGGGTTTGGCCAACTAGGATATTTTGGTTTTATTATCTATAATTAAGTTTAATTTACATCCATTTTCTTTTGAGAATATATGAATGTGCTTAAAGCACCTTGAAGTTTATATGTTTAATTAGACTGTTAACTAATACCATACTGAGAAATGGATGGGAGTTGACCCATCAGGATTTTCAGCAGCATCAGGGTTTCCAGTGGCATCAGGATTCACTGCATTAGGATTTTCAGCTATCAGCTGTGTGCAGAGCAGGTCACACGTGTATTGTCACACGTGTATTGTCACACGTGTCCTGGCACTGGTGCTTAGAGACAGTCCCAGTCTGTGTTCAATGAGAACGTCACCCTAAGCCTTTCCCTGACTTTCGCACCTGAACAGTGTTACATCGGCTGCATTTCTGGGGTGTCTGTTTTGCAGAAAACAAGAAAAATAGAAACTGATACTTGAAGTTTTGTGCACGGCTATTGAAAATCATCAGTGTCTGTTTTGTACTCAGTACATGTGCTACAGACTAAGGATGAGTTAAATTAAAGCCTTAATCTGTAAAGCACTCGGGATCTCAGCCTACCCTTGGCATTCCAGGCCTGCAGTTGCTTTTAAGTTTTGTGGTGAGTGGAGTCAAGGTCCCTGGTGTCAGGTGTGGACCTGCCTGCTCTCCTTCCTTTCTTTTGTTCCACTTCTCTCTCTTTTGCTATGTGCAGACCCCATGCCTGTTTGAGAAAATGACATTGATTCTTAAGGAGTTCTTTTTAGATTTACATGTGTTAACAAAAAAGGGGCGCTTCACTTCGAGGATCTCCTTGGGATGTACGGGCAGAGAATAAAGATTGCTGTTAATCCCGGGCTGAGTCACGGAACCGGTGTATGGCTTCTCCGGGGAACAAAGGGGAGATGCCAGAGAGCTATTACCTTGGAAATCCCACCCAGAGCAGGATCATCAAGAGCTAACAGCTCCTCCTAGCCTCTTCTAGCTACTGGAAGTTATCCACAGAAGGAGGCTGTATTTACATGCCTGGAAGAAGAGTTGCATGATGTTGCATTCCCATCCCATGCCTATCAAAAGTACTGTGCTCTCTGAGCTGGCTCAGGAGAGCGCCCAATTGATTCAGAAGCATTTGAGACTGAAGCATGATCAAGCCCATGTACTCCTCTTTATCAGTAACAGCTTTTGCCTGATTCAACCTTAGGCATGGTTGGCCCAACCTTGCTCTTTAACCATTGCAGCTTTGGATCTGACCTTCTTCAGCCAGCGTGGCTGTGAGAGACGGGATTGCCTGGGCGCAAGCTGGCAGATCTGCATTGCATGCTTCAGCAGCTTCTAACACCAAATTCCTGTGTCCTATCTTTTGCTTCTTTACCAGTGCTGTGTGCTGTATCAAAAACTCCTGTCAGCCCCATTTTATGTTCCCAAGTCTCCCTGCCTTCACTAGGTTCAACCTGGGGTCTTGTTTAGGGAAAGTTACACTACTCTGGATGCTCATTATTCACTCGTTTATCAAGTAAGATTCTGTTATTTACAATGTTACATCACAAAATGGCCTTTTAATTCCATTTTAGGACGATACATTTTGGCACCCAAAACTTTTCCTTCACTTTCCTTGCACATATAGAGATAAATGGGAGATCAGGAAGGTCTCTGCCTTCTGTATCATTTAAAAGCCTTCTCACATCGTCTTAACTGGCTCTACACCCTTCCAGAGGGTAAACTCTTTGTTGCTGGTGTAATTCTGTTTTTAGATCTCAGAGGAGTCTTAGGCTGCTGCTGGAGCGCCAGGACTGTAGTGATATAGGTAGAATTCAACTGTGGATTCAAGTCGCAGCATTTTACATCTGTGTGTGTACTGCATATGTAAATGATGACTTACAAACCGAGGGATCCTGAAGGATCGGTCTCTGCGTCAGCAGTTCACAAAGTTTTGAAGCGCAGCTGGCCATCCCTTCAGCTGCACTGATACAGCAGCTTGCAGAGACTGCCAAAAAAGCTCAGGTTGAAATAACGTCCTCCAAAAACCTTTTACACTGGGTTATTTGAGCGTTGCAGCTTAGAGCGTCATCCTATGAGCAGGGAGGAAGGAGAAGTGTGCCAAACTGTGACAGCCAGATGAAAGCAAGCGGTCAGAAGAGGGGGAGAGTCAGAAGGTGAGGAGCCCCTCAGCCTGGCTGTGCTGCCAAAGCCCCTCCAAGGCTCTGTGTCTCCGGTAAGCTGTCTCCAGGTCTCCCCTTGCTGATGTGAAGCACAAATAGACCAGGACTGAGTGCAAGGAGGGGAGATGCTCCGGAGTTCCCAAAGTTTGCAGAAAGGCAGAGGAGAGGCAGCCAAGTGTTACATTCACTATGGATGTCTTCTCTGGCCAGGGAAGGGGCAGATCCCTGCGGCTCGGCTTCCAAATCTATCAATGCCAGCAGCAGACTGGAGACAGCCTGGCTGTCGTGAGCAAGCAGTGACTCACTGCTGCACCGCACTGCTGAATTATTTGGGGTGGGTGGGCAGTATTTATCACACTGTCGATGAGGATTTGGCTACGTTAAGCAAGCATATAGGCAGTATGGGCTGTTGAGTCAACCTTTACTATACACATAGAAGTCTATGACTTAAGCTTACTGGAACGAGACTAATGTGTCAAGGGAAAAAGTGTTACACACACAGAAGATAGACAAGACACTGCACCAGTGCTAAATATGGAATTTATTGCAGTATATGCCGCATCAAAAGCTGAATGATTCTTAAACTTCATTCACAACCTATCTAATAAGACCTATGATGAGTACTACAGTCTGGGACTGAGTGTTTAAAAGTGTTCCCTTGACATGTGCGCTACTTAAAGGAACACTCAAGTGATAAATTTGTTTTCCAGTGCTTAAGGGAGATTGCGTGTTCCCCTGCTCACACAAGAGCTCCCTGATCTTACTGCAGATGCAAAACAGACCCTGCTTTGCTGGGATTCTGAAACAAGGAAGGGATGAAATCTCAGTCTTGTAGCATGGAGTCTTTTGGAGTTAATAATAAAGTATTAATAATGACAATTTGTCTTTCTCCAGGAAGGAAAAGCAATGAGAGGCAGGAGGAGAAAGATATACTGATGGTGGGGAGGAATTTTCTAAACTGACAAAGGAAGTCAGCTGCACAACTCCCACTAATCATACTAGGCTAAATACCCAAGGCAGCCTTAGAGGTTATAGCTTATATAGATTTAGACAAAAACAAGTTCAAATGGTATACCGATGACTTTTTGCCCCACAATGAATCTTTTAATTTCTGATGGTAATGGATGCTACCTAACTGTGAAAGAGAATCAGAATATACTAATTTTAATGCAAATGGATTTTTTTAGATGAAAGGCACTGCATAAAAAGTAGAATGGCAGTGCTGTAAATAGTCTGCCTGTGGTAAGTTTACTTACCATTAATTACTGGCATTTATGCTAGTTGATTTAAGAAAATACGTGTATTTTTTAATTAAGTAGTGCTTTTACACTTTCAAATCAACTTCTGTTCTTTCAGTGCTATTGGAAATTTGAAAATTGCTGAAGTTGATCCAGGTGGTCGTTTTGTAAAGATCATGAACTGTGCACCTGAAAAAGAGGAGAGCGTTGGGGATTATCTTTTGAAGCAGGACATCCAAAGTCAACCAGTGGCTGTATTCCGGTTTCCCCCTGAGACCAGGATGGGGCCCAACTCCACCGTGACAGTGAGTGTGGGGGGTCTGAGTGCCTGTTCTCAGCAGGCAGACTAGGGTACACTCTTAGCTGGATGGTATGGAGTCAAACTTAAGTCTGTATTTTCAGAGAGGCTAACACTTACAAAGACTGATGAATTCAGAAGAAGCTGTTAATGTCCGTCATCAGTTCAAGCTTGGCATTTGCATGACGAGTCCAGCATTTCATGTTTCCTAGCAGTGGGAAGCTATCCGGGGATGTACTTGTTTGATACATTCCTTTTCCCAACCATTGCTCCCATAAAAAGCTCCCCATACTGTCAGAATACTGAGTTGTGCCAGTGTTTGCCAACAGAGGGTGTGAACTTTGGATTGGAAACCCACAAATAATAGAACTGGAAAGGAAACGAGTTTTAGGTGTTGCTGCTGAAGTAATTAATATAGTTTTGTGTATAGTCTGAAGTGATCACTATAGTGATCTATAGTAGGGTCTCAACTGAAAATAAAAAGAAAAATGATGTTGCTTCCCAGACTGTGCGCACTGTCTGAGGACAGCTGTTATCCAGCAGAGAAAGGCATAAAACACTGTTCTAGCAACGGGGCTCCATTCCTGGCATTGCCTTGGATGACTTTAGGCAAAATGATGACACTCTGAGCCTTAGGTTCCTAAGTGATGTGCTCTCCTTTGATGTCATGCCAGAGCTATAACATTAACTATTCAGTGCATGGGCTGCTGCTTTTCAAAAATTACTTCCCCTCTGGCTAGTTCAGATGTATCTTTTTGCCAGTTCGTATAAGAGTTAGAGGCAGGTAGGATCTAAGATGCAAAGAGTCAGATGACTTCATCATACCCCAGAAAAGCTTTAAATAGAAAACAATAAATATATGCATTTGATAGCCATGGTAATGAAAAAGGCTTGAACATGTGAACTAAATGTGACCAAGGCTCAGCTGTAGGTGTAGCTGAGGAACATCTGCTGGTATCTGCACGTGGCTTCCAGCAACCTCTGGGATGTACCCGCACTCACAGCTGGCACAGCCTCTGTTGTACTGGGTAAAGATGCTGGCTGCTTGGCTGGCTGCAAGACACCTTGCAGATCTCCCCAGAAATGGTTTCCCCTTAGCTGGCTTTTATGCACCAACGATTCCCACCAACCCCAAAAGTAGTCCTTTCCAAAGTGCTCTGATCAGTGCTGAAGTTATTGACAAGGTTGCTGTTCCCATTATCATTAAAAGGCTCCTGGGTGAACGACTGACTGAAGTAGAAGGTCCACCACAGCTGTTGTTTCAGTATATGCAAGCAGAATATTTCTGCTGAATATTAACTTCAAAGGGTCATGTTCAGGCTGCCAACTCTTGCATCTAAAATTCATGTATAGATAGACGGCTAGGAAGGACTTCCAGGCCCCAGCTCCCTGTGAGAGCAACAGATGCACCAAGATGGCTCAAGTTAGATGCCAGTGCAGATGGTTGGAATATGGCCTGAAGCTTCTTTTACCACCAGTGCTTGTTTCTTCTCCTGAGATGAAAATTGAAGCCTCGCAGAGTACAAGGGGGCAAAGTCCATGTTCATCACCAAGCTCAATGCAGGTCAATGCAGCCCTGCGTGAGCCCTCTTACAAGAAAGGTGGAAAAGCAAGGTGGTGGGGGCCCAGAAGAGCCACAGTCAATGCTGTCTTCTGGTGTATGTGTGAAAAAGCCACAAATACACCTTGTCAGGGTGCCATATGGTGACCACTTTTGGAAGACAACATTTTTTTTTTCAAGATACTTCTTTAAAATAGAATGAGGATTGTTTTGGCTCACAGGAAATGGCTGAAGACATTTTCTCACAGATGGCAAATGCCAGATCCTTTAGGGACACCGTTTGCAAAAGCATGTTGTGATTGTCTTATGTAAGAGAAATGTTTTCCTAACAGGTCCTTTGGCTACTGTGTTAGTGATAAAGGTCACCTATAATTGTGTTCACTTTATAAAGCACAACACTGTTAAATCTTTTGTATAAGGATAATAGTACAAAAAAATTCTAGTCTTCAGTAGAGACAGCTTCTCCCTGAACAGAGGGAATCCAGAATCAAGCAGAGACTGGAATTTTAAAGCTGATATCACAGATCTCTTCCAATGCCCTTGGTAATTTAGAAAATACAAGAAACTGCCTATTTTAAGTCTTACTCTCAGCAAGCCAGACCAAAAAGCCCGGGATTTACTATCACACCTTGAAAAATGTGCCTTTGCTAATCTCTGTTAATCCACAGGAGAGATACTTGAAAATAATCACTATAAGCTGCGAGTCTTGAAATATAATTCTTTCAGCTTTGATTTCACAGACCAAATAGTGACCAGTGTTACAAAAATCAAAAAGCAAAAGGAAAACCTGATGTTTTTACTGAGTTCTTATATTGTATAAATATCCAGGAGCCATTTTGTCTTTAATGTAATGGCTGCTTGATCTTTGCAGGTTTGGGCAGCAGATGCGACAGTGCTTCACAAAAGTCCCTCAGATTTTCTTTGGAAGGAACTGGAGAGATTTAGGACAAGCCTTACCTGTGCTACCATTCTCTATGAGCCCAGTGGTCAAGTGAGTGCCTTGAACAAAATCACCATGCTTCCTTACCCAGACAGCTCTATCGCTGGACATCCTTCAGAGATTTGAGATCATACTGTTAAAGTCCTTGTAGAATCAAGCACACGCAATCCAAACAGCAAAGCTGGGCTCTCTCTCTGTTAACCTTGCTTCAGCGTGGATGTTAATTATTAGGATCTGAAGAAAAACAGTAGATTGATGACACCACTTGTTGAATGAAAGGCTAACATGCTCACAGTGATTGAAGCAGGGGCTCCTCAAGTGTGAATTGTCAGCCCACTGTCTGCTTCCAGTGTGCTTCAACCATGAAAGGTCCAGCTATGCCCAGGGCTATTCAGCCCATGCCTGCCTGCTAGTAACTGCCATCAGCTTGGGAACTGTGTTGAGTATTTTTAGGCAAACTTCTGTTGACTTGGGGATGAGAAGGAGCCCAAGATCATTCTTTACCCTGTAGTTGTCCAGTGGCAACTATGGTTTTGGTAATTTTTAGCTAGACAAACTCGGACTAGTGACAGCGTGGAAAGACCCGTGATTTTCACAAACAGTTCAAGTTATACAATTTCCCCAAGGTAGCATAATTTACACCTTACAAACTGTTAAGTGAATGTTGACTTTTGGTCTCACCTTTTCACATTTACTCCTCTTCTAACTCACTTTGGCCATACTTGCTATTACATCAGTGCCAGGGAATCAGAGGCTGAAAGTGAACTGGAGACGTGATTACCTCTGCCAGGATTGCTCCTGGCTGTGGCTTGCCTAGGCAGTTCTGGAAGACCTTCAGTAAGAGAGACTCCACCACATCCCCGGGCAATCTCCTTTAGTGCCTCACTCTGTACGCTTAGAAAAGGTTTGCTAGTGCCTAAACTGGACTTTTTCTGCATCAGTCCTTTCCTTTTTATCCTGTCAACTGTGGACATGGAGAACAGATTGCTTTTTCTTCCTTCAGCAGCCTCTGACATTGTTGCAGAATTGTCATGACTTCTTTTTTCTCCTTCTTTGTCTGGTTTACTTAATTGGAGCAGTGGAATTTCAAGGCTCTTAGATGATGAGTTTACCCTAAATATATTTAAAGACTGGAAACAGATTTTAAAGACCGGAAACAGATTTTAAAGGCCAAAGAAAAAAACCTGGAATTTGGTGGCTGCAATTAGTATTTATCTTTCAAATGATAAATAACTCAGAAATATATTGGAGTACCTGCCCTTTCAGCCCTTCTTGGTTTGTCTAGAACAAACACTGATCTTAATGAAAAAATGCAGAACATAAATAAACACTGATATGTTGGGGTTTTGTTTTTTTTCCAGGCTGTGGCTTGGTACACTTTTCTCTACTGGAACAGAAGGCAAGGATGGGTGGCGAAAGAGGAAAGTGAAGAATTTGAGAACATTGTTATACCAACATTCCCAACACCAAAGCAAAAAGAAGTCTGGGAAAATGAACAGGAATTTGCAATAACTGATACAGAGTGGAAGAGGGCTGATCCACGGCAAACAATTAAAAAAGGACAAAGCTACATTAAAAGGTATCTGACGTTCATTGTGTGTACTCTGTAATTGCAGCATCGTGCCATACTGGCTCTGTAAGTGAAAGCTTTTAAATGACCATCTTGTAAACAATTTTTTAAAAGCTTTGGAATTTTAAAAATAAGAATTAACCTTCAAATAGGAATCCAGCCCAAAACTCCTGATAGGAGCACGTTCATTGTCAGTCAAGACTAATTGGAAAGTAAAATCCACATGAAATTCTTCTTAAACTGTGACTTTATTATTACATATTATCCTTTGAGCCCCAAGTGTTTGGATGGCACCATTTGGAGACCACAACTTGGGAAGCTTTCAGCCAAAAATGTTGATGTTCACAGAACTATTTACCTTTGTCTTGAGAAGGGTGGGCCTGAACTCAGTCTTCTCTCAGCCCACTGCGCTTTGAACTGGGCTAAGGACTGATAACCATTGCTTTCTAAATTGCTTCAGAACTGTCTTCTAGCCATTGTATCAGACTTAAAATTGGCAACACCATGAAAAAGTGTGATCCATTGGACTTCGTGCGGACAGGTTCGTTTGGGCACCCAAGTCTCAGCCAGGAACCCCTGAGCTGAGCCATTCACTGTTTTGAATAAGGAATGCAATATTGGTGGTTTTTTCTCAGTCTTCTCCAGAATATTGGTTCCAGGGGCTTTTGAGCCAGGTTCATGACAGAAGAACATGTATTTCAAAAATAAAGGGTTGGCCAATCTGGATATATATTTTTCACAAAAACGTGGGTGACCCTTCTCACACGTGGGGTAATTGCTCTTCTCTAAATTTCTTCTCCAGACTCTGGCTGGTGATGTTCAGAAGATGAACACTTTTCAGCGTAGGTTGAACTGGCTGTTCTTCACAAGATTTATTCTTAAAAATAGCTAAATCACTTTTGCTCAAAAATTTCCAAAGAAATGAAGTCAGAAGCAGGGAGCAATTATGTAAAAATTCAGTGCAAAGAGTTCAAGTCTGGCAGAATTATAATCAAAGGCAAATGGTAAATTATAATACGATATGTCAAAAAATACAGAAGTTGCAGTTCGTCCACCTACAACTAAATGCAGAATGTGTCAAATATATGTGTGCTGTTTGGTAGGTATATCACATAAATGTAATGTATGTGTGCAGTAAACACAGTAAATCTATGTAAAATACAATAATAAATATGCTAATGCTATACAATAAATAATGCAGTAATAGACAAAATATACATATTTGTTATATCCTGTGCACATACATGCCTGTGCAAAATGTGAAATACAGTAAACTTGATTGAATTTCTCTCTACAGGGAGAAAAAGACCTCTACATCCCTTTTCCCTAATCAGAGTGCCTGGTGCCAAAGTCCAGACTCTCCCACACACCCTCACTTTTCTCTGGTTAGACCATTAACCATGGGGAACGATGGCAGCAGTTTGTGCCGACATCTTGGTGTCAGTCATCAAGGCCTGACCCCATGCCAGGTGAGTTCAGCAGCAGATGTGGTATATATAGCATGCACAGTGGCAATGGGGTGGATTTTCTGACACAAATAGCTTAAGACTTAAAACACATGTATGTTACCACCCCTTACTTCCATAGCACTGGTCTCCACACTTTTTTAATTGTGCACCTGTATCAGTAAAAAATTTTTGAACATGCACTCCCAACATATGTACATTTATTTATTTGTAAATTATATACATTTACTGCTGCAATAATGTATTATGTACATTATTAAACATACACATAAATAGGAATTTTAAAGCATGATAGAAAGATTAAGAAAATACTATTTTAAAAGTATGTTTACATTTACTTTTCTTTATTAACATTACAAAAATATTTTCTTCCTGCACACTAATAGATTGTCTTGCACTCCCCCTGGAAGACCACTGCTCTATAGAGCTGCGTATGTCAGTGAGATATGAGGAGGCTACCATTACTAATATGGATGCATTTAGGAAATGAAACTAAATATTAGGAATCACTAAGATTCTTACATTGGCTGTGAATTGTTAATTAGGCAGTGGTGAGAAAGTCAGTGTGTAATTCAGGTACATCAAACCCAGAAAGCCGTTGACACATTGGAAAGAGTTCAGAGGAGGATGACAGAGTGAAAAAGTGTCTGAAGAGATTGATTCATGAGGACTAAAAAGAGCTAAATGAGTGCTGGACAAGCAAGGTGATCCTCATGCAAGGGGGTTCAAGCATCACCGTGAGAGAGGAAACAGTCTTAGGTCCAGGAAACAGAACTAGAAGAAATACGACCAAGTGAAACACAGGAAGGCTTAGGTTGATTATGTCAATAAAAAGGAGCTTTAATGATCTATAATGTAGTCCTCCAGTTGTGCTCATTGCTCCACTTAGTATTTTAAGACACTTGCAAGTTTTAAGTGCACCACTGCCATTAATTTTAAAGGAAGTAGGTATCCAGCCCCTGAAGACAGCTTTGTAACACTCATTCTTTCTTTAGTTAACATTAAAACCAGACTAGTCAAATTATCTGAATATGCTAAAGAGGTCATCCTGTGGCTGGCGTGGATCGGTGGTTGTGCAGTTGTTGGGAGTTTTCCTCCATTTCCAGGAGCGCCAGCCTAGGAAAAGCCAGATTGAGCCAGGGAAGCGTTTATGCACCTGCTTAGCATTACACACCCAAATAGTGTCCTGCAGCCAGGGAGGACTGTCAGGAAGATCGTTTTCAACTGCTAAATCCAGACAAAGCAGATTAAAACCTGATGGAGTCAGTTGTAAGAGACCTAATTTCAGGGTTTTTTTCCTGCTCTGTCTTAATAACTGGTAGCACCAGCTACTGGGTGTCTGTTTTGTGTAATCCCAGTTTGTCTCATTTGCTAAAACTTAGTTTGTCTCGTTTTGTGTCACTCTGGCCTTCTGCAGAGCTGGGTCCCCCATATCTGTTCTGCTGGTTTCCTGGACAGGTAAAAGCTGGGGACAGGGGGAGTCGGCACCTGCCAGCTCAGGGTGCTGGTGGCATCAGAGGTTGCGTTCACATGAGCAAATGCTGTGGACAAAGAGGGGCAGATCTGTAGAGCAAACCCCTTGGTGCTGCGGTGTCCACCCCGTACACATTTCAAAGGTGATTTGCTTTGTCCCAGCACTAGTCTGGTACAACAGGCCACGAGGGGATACCTACCTCTGCATGGTGTGGGTCCTTTTCGGGTATGAAACTTCCCAAGCTGCTGTGTAGCCCACTCATGCACAAAGTGGTTTCTGTCTGAATACCCACTTGCAGCCACAGCACTTGAGGTTTCACTCCAGAGGACATCTTCTGGCTTGGTTTTGTTCAAGAGGGAGCCAGCTTGTGCACTTGATAGCGCACCATGGTGTGAACCCGAGCACAGCGCGGTTGGAGGAGTGGCAACTCCACTCCATGGGTGGGCTCCTCTTCAGACCCAAAGCGCTACAGCCACCAGCAGGACATCCCCCAGTACTTCTGCCAAGCCAAAGGGAGTTTGCTGCACGCAGTCCTCTTTCCTACATTCCCATCTTTTGTTCGATCTGCGCAGATGGAGATCAGTGTAGTTGCCACGAGCTACATTTGGTTTCAGTTTTCAAGATTTTTGTCTTGCAACTATTAGGACTAAAAACTTTTTCAATAAAGCAAGCAATATGAAACCGAAACAAAACACCTCTGAGACTGTAATGCAATCATGTGGTTCCAGGACCCAGGGCTGCAGGCACAGAGAGGGCATACCTGCAAATTTATTTTCTCAGTATGGGAACTCTGAAGGCAGAACTCAAAGCAAGGTGGGCTGTCATGCATTAAATATATCCGATTTTCTGTAGGTTTGCACATGCACCCTGCATACCCTTAGTCTTTCTTTCTCAGATCTTTGCAAAAGATAATTCAACTCTATTTACTTATGGTTCATTTGCAGTTCATTTCACTACTGAATTATGAAATTACTCCTCCTGATACTTCCAGGAAAGTTAATAAGATCCAAGATCTCAGATTAAAGATCAAATATCGGTATAGCCATTATTTTTCTCTGAGAGATATTCAAGTGTAGTACAAATTACTGCTGGATTTTTCCAGAAATGAATCTATAGAGAGATGTAAACATCATTCTTATTTTATTACAATGCAAAAATTACAAGTGCTTTAGGTAGATTTATACAAGTATGCCACTAGACATTGTTACTGATGGTGGTGGAATGATGATTTTGAAATGTATGAGTACTTTCTATTTTCCTTTTTTTATTTTTCTTTCCTTGCTTAAAAAATTTTAACTAGTAGGCTTCTAACTGACATGAACAACTGGGGTCCACAGTAATATGCATAAATGCAGTCTTGCTTGGGTCCTGGTCCAAGAAAGCTTCCCTATTCAGTAAGGACTCTTCAACTTGTTCATAAATGTTTCATAGTATCAGAGACTTGGAGAAATCAGTATTATTAACTTACTTGTTTTCCTCTACAAACACACTTTTCATCACTAGTATCTTTAAGTATGGGTAGCTATTTTCTTAATGCCATAATACAGCAAAATTAGATTAATGCCTTTGAATAGAATTAGTGATTCAAAGTATTTTTGCATTTTTCTCTTAGATACTTAGTTTCACTTTTCAAAATCAGTTTAGTATATACTCGTATTTCGGAAGTACAAAGGCCCACTCAAAACTGGAAAGAGATGGGCCTCACAGTTTATACTGTTTGATGGTATTTGCGTTTCATACATCTGTTGTATCCTTTCTAGCTCCTAGTTCTGCTCTATAATAATCAAACATTATATTTTCAGTCTTTTTGGGGGGATGTTAGTAGCAGCAGTCCACAATATTCCAGTGCAGAATGAAGTGTGTTTATTGGCATGATGGTGTTTTGAGAACTGTTTGCCTCTCCTCTCCTCACGCAGCTCAGCTTTTTACCTTTCTAGCTGCTGCAGAACAGGATTTTCACTACCCGATTCCAGTGTCTCCTGTGGCTTTACTTCTGAGCCGTTGCAGTTGATATGACCATGGTAGGGTGTGTGGTGGTGGCCTGTTCCTTTTGGCACATACCCATCCATATGAAATTTTAACTGGCACCTTACTGTTTGT